AGGAACCCATACTTGACGTAAACTAAGCGAAAAACGGAATCGGGTGATCAGGATCGCTGACTTGGTTGATGCATGTCATCGTATCCCAATTGCGTAGATTGATGCTCATGATGTCAATCACTTGATTCTCTGGCCTCTTGTCCATTATTTACAGACCGCCGTCATATAGCTGGGATATCGCTAAAAACCATTGACATTATTAGGACAAGAATAGTATAAAAGTGTAAATGTCATAGATTCGATTTGATTTATTGTCATAAGATTAAAGTTTAACATTTTTTTCACATTCTTATTGGTGTGTGAGGGCTTCACTCATTTTAACGATGTTGGGAATCGAACCCGGGTCTTTAGGCTGATGAGCGAATGTCTTGACCAGTAGGCGGACCAACAATCCTCATCCCACTACGTTATGCTTCCCATCTTAAGTGAGTATATGAAAGGGTGTAGAACAGAGCGCCAATTATATCACCGCATTTCAGCTCGATGTGGGAGAACAGCACATCCTGACACAAGTCGCTGATGTTTACAATTTTGGAAAAAAGAGGAGCACAGCATGGCAGAGACAAACCAAAATTCATAATCCGGGCGAGTTTGGATTCAAACCCACAAACAGCGGATCCTGGCAAAACTGATGTTCGCAACTATGCGCAATGAATTGCAATAATATAGACCACTGTCACAATTCTATGACGGGTTATTTCGATATGAACAAACCTCTGGTCATAATCTATATGCATTTTGTCGATCCACAAATTACAAGAAAAATATTTATTATTTTCATTTATTATTTCCCTACAATTAGGAATCTAGCGTACTTGATGAAACCAAAACATACCCCTTATATATCCCTTCAATGCTGTTTTCATAAACATCTTGGTGGTAAACATCCACATTATGTACACACCCATCCCCTCCTTATACAAATTGGTACAATTTCAAGTGACATCTTTCCTTATTTACGACGCTCATGTAATAACCAGGCAATCGATAGCTTATTATATACGTGGGTGAGGGTATATTACTTACTGGAACTTTCCTGCCTCAGGTCAGAGGGATGAATACAGGCAAAACACGACATGCACTTCATATCCTCTCTTAGGGATTGTTATCTGGCAAATAGCGAATGATTGATATGTATGTAATACCGTCTGTCGTAAGTAAGCTCCACCGAAAACATTCTAGATTTATTTAGGGCTAATTGGTATTGTTACACAATTACATCCCTTGGGTTCACTCGGCTTTTTTATTCCGTTACCTTCGTGTCACCTCCGGCACCAGGAGCATGGATATTGCATATTATTCTATAATTATTACAACTAGATACCGCCGCATAAAGTTCGTATAACACGACAGTCAATTTTGAAAAATATATATACTCTGCAAAAAAAGTAACGCAAAAGTAGTAAAATCGTATTTATCTGACAGACTTTGCCGACATCAATACAAAATCAATACCAAAATGAATTGGTCATTGCTGCATGAATTGGGATTGATTTGTGTGGAAAGAATGAGGTATTGCGGGTATTTGGTGAAAAATCGCAAAAACACAACCACGTGAGAGGCTGGCGGTGGAACACACCAACATGACATGCACCTCCAGCTGCACAACATCCATAGAATGCCATGACCAGCAATAGGCCTAGATCTTTCACCCATTGAACTCTGGGACAGGATGGAGAAAAGTTGTGTGCGTCCACGGCATAGGGCGCCGACCACGTTGCCAACGTTGGCTGGACTTGGCCAGGCGCGGCAAGAAGAGTGGGACAGACTCCCTCAAATTGCCTTTGGGCGACTCATACGCAGTATCCCTCGTCGAGTGAATGAATGTTTGACAAATCGTGGCGGTAGTACGCACTACTGATCCAAAAACGTCAAATTTGAAACTTCCCATTTAACCCCTATCGTCCGTCAAAATCGGTCATAGCATCTACTGTCATACTTCACTATAGCTACCGCTTGTAATATGTCGCCACGTCATTCATTATTATCATACAACTATTACCAAATTACATTTATTTACAGATTAAAATAAATAAATGCACTAAAGAAGGTTTGAGTGATCCTGGCAGTCAGGCTGTTAGGCTTATCACCAGCTCAGGGCCCTTGCCCCATCTACACGTAGCCTAAGCAGCCAATTGGACTTCTCCGAGAAAGCGCTGGCTAGGAACTTTCAATGACATAAATGATTTTATTGAATTTATCAAAAAGGGCAAGATCAGATTTTTTGGCCTGGATAGGTCTGAGGCTGTATACGGGCCTATTCCAAAGATTTTTGCATTTATCATTTTCCATGACGCCCTCTACATATTCTGGGTCGTACCATGGATGGACCCTGTTTCAAAAGCACTAGCATGGCGAAGACGGTAATAAAGGATCGAGTAACTCCATCATGTCGCTTAAGATACTGTGCCAAAGCTGTGAATCCACTGATAATGTGTCGGACAGACTCATTTAATGTATTGCATAATCCCCCCCCCCCCCCCCCCCCCCCCCCAAAAAAAATAAAATAACACTGCCCCAGAATCGTTTTGAAAAAAACTAATTAGGCTTCAGACTGTTGAAAGAAGGAAAAAAATTGTCAGCCACAAAAGTTACATTGTTACAAGGTGTTTTCTTAAAAAGAATGTCCAGGCTCACAGTTACATTAAAACAAGTATCTGGTTGTGCATAAAAAATCTCCATACAATATTCCAGGCTCCCCAACACAGCATCAAATGGTCGGTCACTAAACTCGATTGCTGTGGTCGTTCAGAGAGCCTTCCCTCGAGAAATAGAGCAGGAGAGTGGAACGTTTGGGGTTCAGTCCCTGGCTGAATCACCCTAAAAGACGTGAAAAGACGCTACTTATTCTTACCCTGTCTGGCGCTCGGCATTAATGAGCTAAAACAAATACTGGTCGTCTCGGAGTCACTGTGTCTGAGTGAGATATTTATGTTAAACTGCGGCATGTAATCTCAGTGGGCTAGCACTATAAAATCGCCATTAGTCAGGACTAGTACAAGCAGCCACACACACGAGCACACACACACACACACACACGAACACACACACATACACACACACACGTGCATACACTTGCAATACATTTGGACGCGACGTTAAACCCCATTTCACCTCACCTCACCCTGTGTCACCGTTGCTATGTCCGCATTTCATAAATAGTTCTGACATTTGATGACATAAAAACTTTGTTCTTACCAACATTTGCGGAAAATTGTTTAAAAATATATGACATGATTTCATAATGTTGTTTATTTGACACATTGTACATGTATTATATAGGAACGTATCTAAAAAGTATCTCATTTTGGAGAGTAACGTTGGTTTCAAATGAAATTTCCATGTAGCGTATACTCCATAACACCCGAAAAAAACACATACTGTTTACCGACATTGTAAAATACAAAGTTAATCAATAATTTTCCACTCTCTCTCTACGTGAACTCTCACAGTAGTGAGACAGGCATGATGCTACTCTGGAATTTTATATGATGTCACAGTGGAATGCTTCGATATCATGACAAAAAGTGTTAAATTAAATGTAATAAATGCAGTAATCATTTCACCACGCCCATTTTCTTTCAAGTTTTGGATTTGAAAAAAAACACTGATCAAGAAAAATATTCATACGCTAAGAAAAGTTAAAGATTTTCATGATCCAATCCAATTTAACAACGTTTTTCAATCAATACAATAGCAGCACACCACAGATTGCACAGGAATAAACTCTCTCTACGTCTCGAGTACGCTGAAACCCCCCCACACACCATTCCATTCATTCTACAATGCTGATTTATATCATACGGTTTTGGAGAACCTGGCAATGCACACATATTGATATCCACAATATTGATGTTATATTATCTTCAAGAGCTTAAAACAAGAAGATCCCTTACCTAGCTAAAATTAGCACTGCTACGCTAAGCAATATTAACGCGCATACTACATTCCAGTAAATTAAATGCCGTTGTAATATACGAATTCTCTCTTGGCTGAAGTATGATGCTCGACCCAGAAGGACGCATTAATAATCGTTATGCGAAAGCCTACTCCATTTGCATTCTTTAAATGTTAAACTACAAAGCCCAGGAATTAGCTGACAAAACTAGATCTAAAACAGACATGAAGAAATTCTCTTGTGATCTGTTGTGTCTGAGTGTCGGTTTCCTGAATTGATCCGAAGATGTTGAGGGAGATGCTGAAGTGATTGCTTCAAGTGCATTGTCCCTTCATGAGTAGCTACAGAGAAACGACTCAAAGACTTCAAATTGAATAACTGAACAGACAAGTGCCTTGCCAGATGTAAAGCAAAGGGCGGGAGGTGAGTCTACACTAGTCATGTCAACCACCTTTGAATTAACTTTGTTTTATGTTCCAGTTAGGTGACAGTGTCGGAGATGAACTGTGTGTTGTGAACTGATAAAATAACTAATCTGTTCCTGGTGTATACATTTGTAATAATAACAACAAAACCATTTCAATAATTATAATTATAATTATAATTATATCTGTATCCCGATAATGACGTTGTTTTCTTTTCTTTATTTCTTAAGGTTTGAATTATATATAATAATAATAATAAAATAAATAAATAAATAAATAAATAAATAAATAAATAAATAAATAAATAACATTTCAGACATTGTACAATTCTTATGTACATTGTCCAGGGTAACAACCAGTATGCAGTCATCACGTACGCGATGACCGACCGGATTCGGCGTACCGGCAACTGCACAGGAAAATGATAAATGGTAAACGGCCCCACGTGTCTGTCATTTAACATCAGTAATCAATATTAACATAACCCATATGACACTGCACTCTCAAACGGCTAATATTAAATGGTACGTAAGCATACACACCAGGTGGGGCTACATACATGAACCCATCCCATTCACTTAATTAACATTACCTTAAGGAGAGACTCCTTATCCTTCAGTCAGCCTACACGAGCCTCTGCTCATTTGGATACAATACACAGGCTGATATTGATTGACACCAGTGAACGCTAAGTCTCATGCCGACAAGTAGCACAACGGCCTCCGTCACTGATATGTAACCGCTGGTTCCGTATTCCGCTTCATTTGCATTCCACATTTTTGTAGGTAAAAGAGCAGAGGCAAGGCTTATCGTAAAGAGTTTCCAACTTTAACAATGTGAGGATTTCAGGTTCGAAAATGGAGGAAAACTTAGGAAATGGATCTTTGAGAATGAATGGTAATGTTTCTAACGAAGTTGTTGCTGGATTGGAAACCGGTGCTCGAGCCACCCTTATCTGTCTGTACAGTGTGGTGTGTGTTACCGCCGTCGTTGGAAACACAGCTGTGTGTTACCTCGTTTTTGTTCTACGACGTATGAGGACTGTTACCAATTTCTTTATAGCAAGCCTGGCTGTCAGTGACATGCTCATGGCACTAGTTTGCATCCCATTCACGTTTGTGGCAAATGTTCTTTTGGACCATTGGCCTTTCGGATATGCCTTTTGTCCGCTTGTGACGTATCTTCAAGCTGTGGTAGTATTTCAAAACGCTTATACTCTTTTATCCATGAGCATGGAGCGGTATATTGCAATAATGTACCCCTTCAGACCGCGGCTTGGAAAGCGGAAGTGCTTGTACGTTATCGTAGTGTGCTGGGTGCTGGCATTTCTGACGCCGTTGCCCACGGCTGTGACATCCCATGTTGTGGCCAGTACCAGTAATGACTCCAACCAGACTCTGTACCTATGTAGGGAGGAATGGTCCGACACTCAGAGATTCTCCTACACACTCACCATCATGGTACTGCAATACTTTGTCCCACTTCTTGTTCTTCTCTACACGTATATCAGGATCGTCCACGTGGTATGGCTCAAGGACATCCCGGCTCTCGAGTCAAGGGAAGGGCTGCAGGACCCTAGAAAGAAGGTAAGCTATCGTCTTGTGTTTGGTGGGATGGTCGTAGAAGTCATGACAATTCTCCCTCTGTGCAGTGTCGTGTCCTTTAACAGTGAAAGGCTCCGATGCCCGCGGGTTCTCCCTGATTATGATCCTCGGTTTTACCTGCGTCACTCTTCGTTTTCATTCCACTTTTAGTCGACACGCCCTGAAATAATGTCCAAAGCGCCGTTATACTTATCTCACCCTAGCGGTCGGGTAGCCTAGTGGTTAATGCGTTCGCTCGTTACGCCGAAGACCCGGGTTCGATTCCCGACATGGGTACCATGTATGAAGCCCGTTTCTGGTGTCCCCGCCTTGATACAACTCTGGTGTTTTGTTTATGATACTGAATATAAATCTTAGAATAATATCGAAAAGGTTTATCTAAATTCAATTCACATTTGAAATTTAAGTGATTGATATAGCCTTAGTTATTGATGAATGCATAGATTCAAAACCATTTATATTCCGATTGGTAAATAAAATAATTATAGCTTATCTCATTAAAACACATTTCTACCTGTTGGCATGGAAACATACACTAAGAAAAGTTATCTTATTGCAATTATCCTCATTTGAAAGCAGGGATTATCAATAAATCGTTAACTAGCAAAGATTTAATTAAATTAATGTCCCATGTTCTCACCGTTGGTGGTATGGTATAAAGCCACGCCCAACATATAGACCTCATTCTAATGAACTTGCCTTTATATCATTGTTATTTCAATCAGCGTGTTAACACAGGCACCAACATGGCTTTCTGGTGTGTAAAGATCAATTTCTCTCTCCTTCTATATCCACGTTCCAGCCCCTTTAGTCTGACAATTGTATGATTGCTTCTCGATAGACTTTGACGCGCACGGAACGAACATCAGATCAATAGTCAGAAAAATAATACTTTCCTTTCTCCGAACTGATTTTGCTTCTGTCATGCTTTAAAATGAAATAAATCACCCTGATGTGAAAATAAAAGGCTCGGGTGACGCTTTGGCGAGATATTGACATATTATGAATGATGACTAATTTGTGAAAATGCATATGTCAGCGATCAATGGGGTATCATACAGTTGCCTCTTCTGACATATTGACCAACAAATTCTTTTGTGGCTGATGAATTTGGTCTGCAGGTTTCCTCGTGGCAGGTCACCTTTTCACAAATCGGATAATTGATGATGGATGCTCACATCCCGTTTCTTCGAAGAAAGCCATAAGTTGACTTATTTTTTTACAAAACGCATGCTAAACTTCTAGTTGTAAGGTATGCTGTAACGGTAATAAATATGCATATTTAAATGAATTACCCCAAAATCATACTGATTATTTCATATTTATTCCATTACATGACCGCATCACGTCTTTAAGACGTTCAAATCTTAATAAGACGTGTGAAATTTAACATACTTCGAAATAATTAGACATTTTAAATCAATCGTTGAATGCTCAGTGTGTCATATCGGTTTGGTCTTGAAGATGCTTACTTTGTTTTGCTGTTTGCTTTATATTATGTATAATCGATTTTTACTTTCAGTATGTTTGATTGTCTTCAATGGGTTTGCTTTTATAACGTGTTGGTACTCGTTTCTTTTAATAATGTACGAAAACGGTTATAGTGTTTTATTTCAATATGTGTCATCGTGTCTTTTACCATCACTACATGTGTATATGCATTTTTTGGTCGCCAATGCTTTAAGTCCTTAATGTTTGCTTGCTGTTAATTATATTTTTTTACGAGTGATGTAATCTAATCAAAAAGGGGTGTAATTTAATAAAAAAAATATGTTCACTTGTTTTGTCTCTCGGATTTTCAAAATATAAACCGGGAATTTAACAAAGAAGCTGCAAATATATCGATGATCTGATATCGTTGAATATTGTCAAAGAGCTAAGTCCCTTCAACTGATTTACCCTCCTGAACTAGAGATAAAAGAGACCAGTCAAACGGCCTCATCTGTTTCATATTTAGATGTGTGCATAAAGATTCAGAGTGGCAATAAAGTATCCACAATAGTGTGCGACAAGACGGATAGTCCAATAGTCAACTTTCCGTTTAAGTCGAGCAATATTCCAGCAGCTCCAGCCTTTGGTGTCTACATTTTCCAACTTGTAAGAACAAGGGAGCACGCTCTTTTTTCGAAGATTTCAAAGAGCTTCATACAAATCTTGCTCAAAAGTTGTTCGAGCAGGGTTACAAAATTCAAAGCCTCAGAAAAGTTTTCAAAACGTTTCATGGTTGACATGGGGAGGCCATTTCCAAATTTAATACACCAGTAACAATATTACATGTATGTCCAATGCAATTCCCTCTTTTGGTTTATATCATGAAAATGTTTCCATGTTTGTTAGGGTGAACACACTTGGCTTGCCTTTGCATGTGCATAATGATGGGTGCCACCGATGGTAGGGTATACACTCACCATTTCGCGAATGCCAGGAATTATCACAAACTGACAGTGATTCATAAACATTATGATTTAGTCAGAATCGTACAAAGGACTTTGCTTTTAGCAGATTCTCCTTATGGTTATGGAATTTCGTTTGCTTTAATTTCGTGGTCCTTTAATGTGTGCGGTCATTTTTTCTTTTATGTACGCAACCATGCTGGATTGGGATTTGTGTTATTTGATTTGGCATGGATAAGAAAATTATATGAACCCGAAAGTACTGCTGTCTACTCGGTTGCTGGTGGTCCAGACAAATCAATGATGTCAGAATACGTTTTGTGACGGAAATACGAATATATATATGACCCTACGACATATGTATTTAATCAGGTAAACAATGTAGTTAGATTTAGAAGTTACTGCTGCTATTTTTATTACAGTTAATTGCATTTTTGACAGGTAATACGTACTGCTCAAAACCATTAAAACCCTTATACATTAGAGATCTGTTACATTTGTAAATCTATACCCAAAGATATTGCTAGGTTTCACAAATTGTTTCCGACGACAATCAGACAATCAAATTCAGATGCTAATTCAGGTTTTCGTTTTCAGTGCCAGATGCTTCATTACAGGGAATTAGGGAGAACATAGATTAGCATGGGAATTGGCATGGGAAAACATACATTAGCATGATGACAACTAATTAAGATATCGCATGATACGAAAATTGATGTCAATCTGACAATACCCTAAATGTAGACGATGTCTTTACAATATTCACACCATTTTGTGTAATTGTAGATATTTTTTACATAACCCCTAACTGGGACCTGGGATTGAAATGGTCCAAAGTAACCATTGCGTGTCGTACACCAATATCAAATGGACGGTCCCTAGGGGCACCACATGTACGTTACTGATATTGAGAAGTCTTGGATTATTCGAACAGTGTAGGGCCTGGCTGCCTCCTGAGAAAGAGAAGGACAACTGCCTGCAGAATGACATCGTATAACGTTTGGCTGCAAATTTCCATGGATAATAACAAGACGTGTCTTCCTTACCACACCCTGACGCCATAGGCCCAATCGTTCACTTCTCCATAGATACATTCGCATCGGAAAACCAGGATGGAATAAGTTGAACCTGCTCTCGTCGCTGAACAGTACCCATGACCAATCACGTCGCTACCAACGTCGCACCGTTCGAGCCTGTTGGCGGGTCACTAGTTGTGACCGTGATTATGAAAATTGGTTCGCCACCACTAAACCCACGCTCGTGATTTTCACAAAAGTGGTAAACTCAGCAACGTATGTTCCGAACAGCCGGGCAAACGAAAGTATGCACCAATGTTTGATGGTGGCTAAAAACGAAGCAAACGAGAAATTGCTATTCAATGGTGATGTATTTGATAAGAGTATCATAGGTGTGTTTTGGACGTTAAGTTTTCATTGTTTCGGCGACTGTTTTCCGCCTAGTAAATGTTTTGGTCAAGTCCAATTTTCAAGTGTAGCCTTCCTTTCGCCCGGCAGTTAAACACACTAAGTTCTCGGATTCAATGCGGCATAAACCGCTTGTCCAAAGAATACAGATAAGACAAGACAATGTCTGATTATGCAGAAGTTTACCAATGTCGCCGGGGCACCGTGACACACAGCAGTGACATCATGACGCACAAATTAATTTATCTCGCGTATACCCAAACACAGATTGAACACAGGCAGTTGTGTTGACCATCCGATTTTCATTTTGGACACCTTTTACGACGAGCATGGGACAAACTTTGAACGCTCAAGGGATGGCAGCTAGGAAATTAAGCTTCATACCAAAGCTTCTCACTGATAGCTATATTATGGGAAGACACCTAGGTTCATTTGATGTCCAGGATAACAATCTCTAAATGCCTATGGCATAATGGTGAAGCCTTGGCTACACTATATTTTTTTGTGAATTTAGTTTTTACGTTTCACTCAGAGGAAAGTAATTTAAGAAAATTGTTTATTATTCATGAGAAAATGCCATGCCTTTTCGAACGTAACTACCTTATCGCTTTTTTCAACGTCTCCAAATGAAAATACTTGGAAATGGCTAGTTATAGACCCACAGTCGTGTAAATCATGAAAAAACCCATCAAGATTACTTTTCCCCTCCACACAGAACCATTCCTTATTCACAGACAAAGACGTTGGCATGCCTAAGCATGAGGGCTCAAGTGCTATTCTACAAGTAGAAATTACAGCATAATTTCGCAGAACTTCGGATATATGGATAATGCACGTGGTTAAGTCAATCCAAACATCTGTTCCCATACACAGATCTATGGCGATGATGGGTCATCAACTTCGCATAATGCTTATGAAAATTGCCTACTTATACTAACGAGTTTTCTATCTACTTTACGGTGCATCGTTACAAATATACGTGACAAGAAATGCGTAATATTCTGTGAGTGCGTTTCTGAAGCCAACCACCATGATACAGTATGCACAAAATATCTCATGCATTTTCCTTACTTCGACGATCATGAACTACAAGACAAGATTTGAACTGCACCGACTGTTTTGCTTTCTGGTACGACGCTGTAGAATAGGTCCCCAGCTGTAAGCT